CCTGTTCATTTCGCCTCAGACCACTTAATTGAGTCTTGTAGTGCTTAAATTGTGTTGGACGTATTTACTGACGTATTCAGTTCTAGTAAGGCTCAGATTAATTGCGGCAATACATCCAGGAAGATTCGCCTGGCCTGCTATATAAAATGTTCGATCCTATGATGCTGCAATGATAATAATAATAATATAATAAGGTTATACCATTACATCTGTATAAACATATATATTCAGTGACCAATCTCGAGAACTTCTCTTCAATAAGAATGCACTTTCAGGGTGTCGGTATATCTTAGGTGTAGTTCAGACTACGTATGGTGATTGCTTGCTCGCTTTTCCAGTCTATCAGTACTTTAGTTCCCCTATGGTATTTGACACGGGCATTAAAATGGCCACTTCTGACCTGAAGTCAAACAGTTTGTTCGTTCCAGGGGCATCCCGCAACCGTGCTCTGCAGACGCGGCACGTTTTAAATCCAATCTGTGGTCATTATTAAGTATACGTGACGCAGGGTCTAAGTTAATTTACTCAGCCTTCGTCAGCTTGCCAACCATTAGTGCCGCTAATTCCAACCCGCTTAACGGATCTTCAGGCCCTTCCGGTTCGTCAGTTTGCAGACTATCAGCCATCTGATGATGAAAAATATTCACTGTTGCAAAAGTTACCCGCTGATAATGATAGGCTCAGATTGATCGAACACAAGTGCTTTTCGCCTACTGGTTCTTCCAAGCCAAGATGGGGAGTTTTCCCTTATGGAAAGAGTTAGCAAATAAAAGAAACACATTTAGTGGACTCACTGAAAACGGTCGAGCGGTTTGAGAATGAACGAGAGGCCGTACGGTAGATATATGTGGGTCTTTTATTCCTGCTCACCGATCTCAAAGTTATATCTCGTCGAGATGAATCAACGGGGTCGTACACATCACATTCTCGGATCGTTACCGTTGTTTAATATGGTCAGCCAGCCCTATCATTTATTGGCTTGTGTGTAACCAAGGTTTTGCTAAAGATTGGCATCCGCAATGAATCCGCCACAACCGTAACTGAGCAGAAATTGCTCACTATGTCTGTTCGAGTCTCTGAGTATTACGTAAGGATCTTACTATTTCCGACAGGAAAGATTGTAGCTATAAAGGCTGACTGCCATCTTATCATTAAACGCTCATCTACCAACTACTGATCCATGTTTATCCGAAAAAGTGCAAACAGTTCCAGTCTTTTTCTGGTAAACTAATTTTGAGAGACTAAAACAAACAACTGACACTCCCATTCGGAAATAAAATCATGGAGTACATGATCACCAAGACTTACGTTTAATATGCCCATGGCATTCGAGAAAAAGCAGAAGTAAAACGAAGCTAAGCAACGTGACTCTCATTGCAGTCAATCTGACCTACTGAGCGAGATGACAGAACAAGTGGGCTTTTATCCAAGTTAAACGGGTAAACCAGTTCAAACGAAACGCACCTGTATTTGCGTGCAACTTGTTCATCCGGTCACAGAAATAAAATCATGGCTTAGGTGAAAACGAGCGATTGGACAGTGTTTTTAGTTCTTTGTTAAACAGTATGTTAAGCCATGCTAAGTGCTCGCGAAATCGGTCGTGGGGTGTCCAAGTGATTTTTTAAGCACCTTATGAAAAGTTTCCTTCCGGGAAGCATACTGAGTACAGTTTGACCCAATAACTACTTGTCCAACTTTTCGTGTTTTTAGGTAGATTGTTCGGCAGATTAACTCTGGATGGCCCAGCTAGCTAACCCACGGAGCCGTTGGAAATGGTTCGAGCGCTTAGAAAATTTTGGAGAAGAATACGACTTTCAGGAAAGCCTGCTGGGAAATGCAGAAGTGGTGAATTTGACACGTTTCAGGTATATTGAAGTCATCAAATAGTCTGAGTACTCAAAGCCGGCTAAATCCTTGAGCAAGCAGAGGTTCGTAACGTGAATGGATTTAGTCGAACCTCGCCAAGTTTCACCACTCAAGAAAGAACTGTGCCCGTTTCTGGATGTAGTGAGAATCGGTCATCACCAGCTTTAATCTCACGTCCCTGGAATTAGGCGCCCATAATCTGATATCGGTCTTTGTGTACCTTATAATCACATCAGTTGCAGGCTTTTGTGTGAATTCAGTTAGCGATTTAGAAAATGACAAACCAGTAGCTCATCGTTTTAGCAAATGGAGCTCACAGAAATGGCAAATTTTTAATACTTGGACACTGGAGTATCACAATGAGACCGAACCAACGATGACAGTTACAATATGGACAGTACCACAATGCTTCGCTCTTCCAAAGAAATATCCTTAGAAGAGACAGGATTTTTTCCCATTGTAATTCACCCTTGAGGTAAAAAAAACCTTCCATAAAGGAACTGCGACACCACGAAAAAGATGCATTATATGCGAGTTAACAACCACTTTAAAAGGTTGACGTCACGAATGAACTACTGGATGAGGGTGCCTAAGATCAAGATCAGTACTTTCTAGGCTCCAACAATAATCATTGTTTTCGGTGTCCTAAAATGCAACTAATCGTTCTCAGTTGAGATGGGTCACCTGAAGAAGCACTAATTCCTAATGAATTAGATAACAAGCGTTGGACACCATCAAGGCAGTTCACCACGCTGCGCAACTATGTGTTATGAGAGTAATGCGATTGTGTTGGAACATTGTTAGCTAGGGTGCATCCGTTGAAGACTGATCACGTGGCCCAGTGAGTCAATTGCCAAGCTCGGCGAATAGATCCACAGTCACCTGATCCATTGCCAAAGTATTTGAACTGGGAGAATTCTTTTTGGGCGTTTCATCCTACCATTTTGAAAGCCCCAGGGGCACACAGATGCGAAATAAATATCGGCATCATAATTCATATAGTCACCATTAGTCGACTACTCGCGGTGAAACATACCCGTCGGGAAAACATTTTTGAACTTTTCGGAGGTGTGTTATAAGGGAAAATCTTGTTTGAAACTCGAGTTTCCGAATCTGAATTAAAACGCCGCAACAACTAAAGATGTCCTAAAATAAACTGAGATTTCGAAAAATCTAAATTTCTCAGTGATGAAACATCGCATTTGATAGGAAGGAGAATCAGCGACCACAAAACCTTTGCTTGTGTACTGCAGTAAATAAATGCGGCCTGATATTTTTTTCAGACCCCGGCGACACCTGTACATCCCGGTGTATCAGGTAGGCACAGTTCCCATCATTTGTAAGCCCCTCTTGAACTTAGACTATACCAAACACAGCGGTTTGGTTTTTACGAGAGACTCAAGTGAATCCCGCTTGAAAACCATGTCTATGATATTCTTCAACTGTGTTGTACAAACGCCATCTCACGTTTCAGTTTGTATGATATTCGAGATATCGCAGCATATTTTCTTGGACGAAACTACTGACGAGGTTATTGAAAACAGCTCGACAACCCACGATCGGTTTTACCATTCCACTGCGGATTCATCAGGTGAGCGCAGTACCGCAAGAGGTGCCAAACCGGTCGTGTGCTGTCGAACGGATCGCCGCAAGTAGGTATACGGTTATGCCGACCAGGAAATATACTGAGGTGCCTCAAAAATCGTCCCAGCTGGAGCACGAGGCGGCTTTCACGCAGCACACTCAATCAGAGAATAGCATACACGGATGATTCAGCTGGAATCCAGGTAAGTTTTCTGTTAAAAGCAAACTGCTGTGCTAATTTAACGCGCTTCCTCGCTAAATTCACAAGTAAACCTTCTTAGATTTCTTTTGAGCCATTTCGATACTTTTACAAAGACTTCACAAGAATGCTGTTGAAACCACTCTTTGAAAATATCAGGACACCTTAAATGGCCTAAACAGACCGTGTTCGAGTCAGTCCAGAGCAATCACTTAAAGGACTGGTAGAGTGCCACTGTCTTAAGTGATTCGCTGACTTCGGTTGCTGAGGTTATATTCAACAAAGTTGTGCGTGACTGTGATTACAAGCGGCCTGTAGTATCCTGATAGCCGAAAATAGCGTTCGCATTCAATCTGAACACTGGGTAGTCGGAGTTCTCAGCCGTTGCCCAATTAGCCTAGGACATAATCTTTCTAACATCCCCATGTTTTCTTATCCGGATTTAATCGAGATGAACGGAAACAGATGAGGATATTCTGGCAGACGTAAATGAAAATTAAGATATTTCCCTTCAATCCTCCGACAACACTACATTTTATCAACTGGATACGCTGAGAATAGAACAAAAAATCAGTTTGAGAAAGATCGCGAAGAACTAGTCGCTGCAGAAGGTAATGACATTGACTGCCTAGTGCCGACATCACGGTACGGAAATTCTGGAAAGCATGAAATTCCACAGCCCATTCTATGGTTGATGACAAAGGTGGGTTGCCCGAACAAGCAGTTAACCAGTGTGGACTGAGTAGGTTCGACATAGAAGGTTTGAAACAGAGGGGTCTGTATTGTTGAACCCTGCATACCCGTAATCGGTGCATTAACACCAACAACTTTACACATTTCGTTGACGCCTTCCGATTCCCACTCTGCTCGTACACAGCATAGAGCTGATGCTGTCAGGATGGGAGAGATTTCTTAGTAAAAAGATGACATAAATGGAACACCAACATACTACTTGCCAATGAACAAACCCCGACGCGGTTGGTTAACCAGATACCCACCCATTAATCAGGTTTGAAACAGAGGGGTCTGTATTGTTGAACCCTGCATACCCGTAATCGGTGCATTAACACCAACAACTTTACACATTTCGTTGACGCCTTCCGATTCCCACTCTGCTCGTACACAGCATAGAGCTGATGCTGTCAGGATGGGAGAGATTTCTTAGTAAAAAGATGACATAAATGGAACACCAACATACTACTTGCCAATGAACAAACCCCGACGCGATTGGTTAACCAGATACCCACGAGATGTTGTATATATCCGAACGTTTAATCAAGATGACTAGCTCCGTTAGGGGAACGGTAGGTACAACATACTCAACAACGGCAATAGGCACAATAGATTTAATAGTAATAGTAATAATTGTACAACCCTTATCCCTTTCAATTAAAAAAGCAGTCAGATATGCAGGGATTTAGAGAGCCAGGCATACGATGTTAGTGTAGTATAAATGGAACTAATAAATTAAAAGTAATCTATTACATTCTGTTACACATGTGGCAGTGACCACGTGCAAAAGAAACAATATACCGAGCCGATCAAACTGTACATAATGACTCGGATTGGTGGTGTGCATAAGCCAGGTATCGGCAGTTGAAGGCCGAGATAACTGTAGAAAATGCGTGTAAACAGCAACAGCCGAATTTCAGTTTCTTGTTTTGCAATAGTAACTCGACCGACAGAAAAACAGGAAAAAATTAACGACTACAGCAAGGATAAGAAACTACCTTGAGATACGAGGGGAAGGGTAACGGAATATCGTGGAAATGCTCGCCTCGTTCTTCAAATGTAGAAAAAAAGGTGGATACAAGATGTGGGGAAATACAGTAGAGCAGGAGGATAAGGAGTTTCTGCAAGGTGGGACGCACGCACGTGAACGGTTAGTGGACAGCCCTCACTGACGTAAAGTGAGTGCCAAAAATACGTGTAAATCATGAATGGTATTACACATGCGTGTGCAATTAGAAACTCTAGTATCAAATCACAAAATACGGGAGCAATGTACAGCAGATGGTGGAGAACGACAACAAACCCATTCCCCCCGACAAATAGTATATACAGCCCGGCTCCAAGCAAATTTCGTAATACGCAGCAATGACACTGCATGGGAGGATAGAGGGTGAATGGACGAAACTGGTTTGTATAAAAAGTATGCACACACGGGACGAAAAACAGCAATGACACCAACAAAAATAACATAAGCAACAACGAGCAGAATATCCACAATGACGACGAGCTAATGTTTCGATGCAGTGGTACCGTCCTGGACTGGTCAGCCCAGATCACCTGAGCAGTTGGGCGGACGATCACACGTTCGTCTTCGCAAGAGAGGCAACCGGCAGTTCAGTTCGATCTAACAGAGGACAACGTACATGTAAAACAGAAGCCCACTATACGGGGCAAAAAACAGTGCAAATGTGCTTTTTTTTACCAAAAAGAAGTGTGAGGGGAAGATATGCACATGGGTACACGTTAAACGCCTAGGGGTATATGGAGAAAAAGAGCATCACATGTTCTGCGCGTCTAGATCGACGTTGTCTATGATAGGTATTCGTAGCGAAGGATAACTGACAGAGCTCCGGTGAGGGGAATAAGGATGCTGGTACTGATTCGGCGTGGGGGCTGGACCGCGCATCGTCGACTGGTACTGAGGTATACTGACACGAGAAGGATAGTCCATCGGTGGGAACACACGGCACTGAAGGAAAGGCCTTTTGCGTCCAAGCATGGGGTCGTTTCGCGTACAAATCATCAGACACTGAGCTATGATGGAACATGCATCATTTGTTCGAAGACCACCCTCGTTCGGTGAGCAGCCCATGAGCAACTCAGAAAGCAGTGGAAGCTCCGATTTTAGCCACCTAAAATAGGCATAAAGAGTAGTGAGGCACGTGACATAAACACTTCAGACACAGACTACTGAATGGTCTGTGAAGTAATAAAACGACAAAGGGCGTTGAAAATGCCTGTGAGAAATTAAAGTTTGAGTTGAAGTACCCGGTAATGGATCAAATATGAGTTTGACTTCGAACGTAACCATATGGAAGATACAAAAAGATCTGCATCCCACAAAAACAGCAGTCGCGGAACGATCGTGAGTGAGAGATATTGAAACATGGTCCCCACAGCCCTTCATATTGGTCGGTTTTTCATCCAGTACGAACCATATTACCATGATTATTTCATGCAAACAAAACAGGAGTGCCGGATTCTGGTGCCACTGTCAACAGAGCTAGGCAGTAGTAAGGACTTTTGACCGTAACCAGGGTTTGCGCCCTAGACATCTGGCACGCGGGTTAAATGGCTTTAACCTATGATCATTCAGCCAGTATGGAGCTCCCCACTGGTGGGAGCCTTCTGCAGCCATCATATCAAGGAAGCAGCAGTTGTTCACAATATAAATCCCTAATAATTGAAAAACTCCATCACTCGCGCACTGGTTTACAACTCTAGACAGCATTTTCTTCGAGCTTTACCACCATGCCTATTTAAATCAGTGGTGATAGCCCGCTCAACGTCTCGCACCTTTCCACTGATACGAACCTTGACATAGGTAACATACAAGGTGTCGCAAAAAACTGGATCAACGGGTTGGTACTGGATGGAGCCGAGCCAACCAGTTCAGCACTTGTGAAAGGAACCAGGTACTTGCCTACCAGCGTGTATTCTAAGCTTCTAGAGAACCATCACAGGCGGCAGTGAGTGAATATAGAGAACTGATCATGTCCACGAACTTGTAGGGTATCCACTGTTGAGCAAGCGTGCGTCGAAGAACTGATTGATCAACAGAATAGGACGCATCCCTGAAGCCAAGGGATACCAACTGTGGACCCGAAATCGGAGTACAGTAAGCTTAACGTGCTGCACAAAGACATTGTAAATCAGAATCTCAGTATCATACAATAGAATTCTTGTGATGCTCAGTACACAAAAGCCGTAGTCCTATTCGTAAGACCACGCGAGTAACCGAGTGACACTGGACAGGCAAGCATAAAATAGTGTCGGCGATGTACTGAATTGCATTTTACTGACTTACGTTCTGGCTTCCTCCAAGTAAGTGACAAAATTACGGAGAACAAGTGCCGCGCTGACCCGCAAATGTTTTGTTACCGGGCCCTCTCGCGGTGGCAGCAGCTGAGGAGGAAGAGGAGGTGGTGGCGGGAACGGAGGGCGACAATGTGGATTGGCTGACATAAAGTGGTGTTGAGCTGTCCACAAGTCATGCTGCATTTGTCGCATTTCTATGGAGCGAATGATTGACCAAGCGCTCTGATCACCAGGAGTGCCCGGATCGTTTGGGGCGGTGGTGTGCATGTGATGCAGATTAACTGTAGACGAGGGACAACTTGAGGCTGGAGATGGGATGCGCTTGATTCCGTGAGAATCACTGACGGAAGGAGGTGAGACACGCTCAGGTTGCATGTCTAGTGCAGTGGTGCAATGCGCATCCAACACATGTGTAAGTAATGCGAAAGGTGCGCGCGCCAAAGATGCTGATTTGCAGTCTCGCCATCGACAGCACCGACGAACTGCTGTCGGTGAGGACTTGGTGAGCAAGTCACCCATTAAGTGGGAGACGTATACGTGCGTTGAGACCTAAAAAAGTGAATGGATACAACAAATTCATGGATGAAATAATGTTATGTGGTTCCAGATTAAAGAATGACTAATAGCTATACTACTGTGTCCTCGCCTATTAACTTATTCAATTAAGGTACAACCAAATCTTACCTCTGATTCATTACCTAACCAAATAAAGTTAACTAACTGATGATGCCTTGTAAAAAGGAATAACACTCACAATTGTACCATGCGCACAGAGATGAATTTAATCATTTAAAGGCTCTTTGATAGTGAACGAACAAGCTGCGTTAACCATCACCAATCGAGTGTTATTAAAGCACAACAACTCTTGTCCCTTTTTTCTGTCCTTCCGCACCTGAGTCTCTATATCTCTCCGCAGAACATACGAATGCTTGACGGAATGCTGCCGCGCATCACTTGATCGTTTGGCTGTCACGCGACTTCTGATCGAAATTTAGCCCACCAAAGCTCATTTTCCCTGACCGGAGGGTAGTATTCTTCGCTTAATTTGCATGGACCTTTTGGGCTGCTCCTTTTGCACAGTACGAGGGTTGCGTGCTTGAGAGCCCAGATGCTTAAGACGAGGGGTTAAAAAAGCCACAGCGTATGCCACCTCAATTTCTAAGAGTATATTGTCCGGAACCAACTCATTACTCAAGATAGATAATCACAATCAAGACATTAGAAGAAACAGTGAGCAAGGAAATCAACCCGGTTTAGAGGGATTGGTCACCAAAAGGCAATTAAGGGTCAAAAGCGTCTTGTGCAAGTAACAACCGGACGGAGTGAAATCATGATTTTGGAATCGACTACTAAACAGCGAGGTTATACCGTAAAGACTGACAGGACAGACCTAAGGTACCGCAGCTACTACTAGGTAAGTGGGGCCCAAATACAATTTGCAATATCGAGCACATCAAAACAGAGTCTAGTGGGCTAATAATGGGTTTGCTTTACGGATTCAAAGAGATACCCAGCCATCGTTGCCTACGCATACAGCCTAATGCTATGAGCGTTTTATGCTAACAGTCTTCTCGCGGACTCTGGTGTAAAACAGCACTGCTTGCTGTCAAAGTTTGTGTACTGGGATCAAAAGTACTTCTGCAAAACGAGAAAAATGACCCAAAGAAAGGACGGACGGAGTGGTTTAAACGCTAAGACATGCTGGGTAACCTGGGTGTCACGCCTTAGAAATTTCTTACGAGCTGCTGTACCACACCATTAACAGCAGGTGCACATTTCAAGGACTTGGCAAAACCACGCGAAGTTTTGTTAAAACTATTAAAAAGTTATACTCTATTTTGGACTTCCGCCAATCGATACAATTGAACACAGTATGCAGTGTGTTCAGTCATAAGGCAGGTCGTTTCATCATAGAGCACCACTTCAAAGTGGGTAGCACAAGCTGGGCATGACATTCCGATTCAGTAATGTACCTTGGTGAGCTAAGATACCAAACAACTCGTACTTTTTCCCGGCAGTGTGAACCCGAAGATAACTTCCGGTATTTCCAAAAAGACAAATGTACGAAAAAAGTCAGGCTAGCGCAAGTCGCAGACAAACAAATTATGCTTTCAGGCAAGCTGAACATAAAATTATCGTTGGACCGGACCACCTATCGTTCAGAAGCTTGCAGGTCTGTGGTTCGAAAGATAGGTGTTCTTCTTGAAACAGTTTTCAGCACAGACTGATATTACCGGGGGAATGAGATTTACAATATGGACTCAGCAGGTCAAGCGAGTGTCTGATAGGTAATGGAATAGTAACAGGGCAATGGAGCAATCGAGTCACGTTGGTTTGTGAAAGGGTCAGCTGCTGTCGAAAGAGAAAATGAATTCCAAAGGAGTGCAAATAGCATTCTCCTGATTCAGATAAGAGGCCAAGCCAAAATTGTGGAGGTTTTACTGATAGTGTGATCTGGTCTTGTCTTCCAATAGAGTCTAGAAGGCAGTGATTCGAATGAGCTGGGAACACGATTCAGGTGATGGACTAAACGCTTCAAGTGAGTTGCTATCTTCATTCAGGGATGGGTGCTACGCTTACATACATCTGAGTTCTAGATCATCAAATACGGTTCAAAAAATCTTAGCGTGAATAAGGGAGCTTGTTTAGTCAAACATGTTCCCGACAACTTTAAACGCTAGCGGTCACCGTTTCCAAGCATATGCATATTTCACCAAACATGCTGTGGAGGATAAACAAGGTTGTGCCATTCACTGTTACCAGTTTGATGACCTGCTGCAACGAACGTGCGGTAACACGGGCCGTACAATTCGTAGGCCACCTGCTTTGCAACTGCTATCGGTGAAAGGAAGAAAGCCTTCGCTGCGGAGTTATTTATTCGGAAATGCCCACTGACCGGTTACAGACCATTGAACAAGGAAGCAAAACTCTAATCTGCATCTTAGTTACAAAAACTGGACACAGATCTTCTCCCGAACGAGTCTTCCTGGAGATTCATTGCCTCCAATCATTCGTCGGTCAAATAAAAGCAAATGTTACAAAGTGGCCCCGCGAATTCCACAACAAAATTCCATTATTCAATCGACGCAAAGCGAAATTCTACGAACAACACACCGGCACATCCTGACAGGAACGTTGATAACTAAACTACAGGCTTTACGAAGGGCTCGTAAACTTTACAATATATAGCTGGCCGCACGCGAAGGCGAACGGTTCCAGGACCCAATAAAACAACAGGTGCAATAAATGATGCTTTTTGTTGAAACTGTCTGGATAAGGCATTTCTACGGTGTGGAAGAGCAGCATCTATTTGTTTGAAAACTGTCCCGAGGTGTGAATGAGTTACTCAACGTCGGGCACACCTACCTGAGTTACCCACAATAAACACCAAAAAGTTTACAGCATCAGAACTTACACACGAAATTTCTGAAAGTGCTAGGTGTGTTCAATCGCATTCCACATAGACGATAATCTGTTTCAACATTGGGGCCCTTGCAAACCGCACACATACAGAGATTTCCCCTTTAGTAGTGATACGTGAATTGATGCATGCCATGAGTATTCAGCTGATTGATATCTAGCAGCTTACTTCACCTTCCAACACCGATAAACCACTGAAATCGTTACTTGCATAAGAACTGAATACCGAGTGCCTATTCCCCACCAATAATTCAAAATCCTTGCTTCGAGTGCATTATGAAGAGATCGCGCAACCACAATATGAGCTACAGATATTCTGTTGAATTTCAACTACTTTACTCTAAAGGACCGGTAATTATCCCTCTCAAAATGTGACGGCCTAGAAGTTCTGATGAAGCTGTGAACAGAGAACAGTTTGTCTATTCCAACGTCGAAGGCTGTCTGCAGTTCAGTGAAGTACCTTCCTGATTTCCTGCTTGATCAGCAAACGACTTCGTCCATTGTCATCTTGAATGTCTCGGTTCCTTACATCCAAGAATATGCTGTGTAGTGGCTGATGCCGCTTGCCTCTATTGAGACTTGCAAGACACCACTGTTCTGCACAAAGCGATGATGCTCTCACGAATATCTGCCTCAAATTTTCTCTAATTTCCTAAGTGTCAGTCGACACAACAGTATGAAAGGTATAATAACGGCTCAACTGCAGCATCCTTTCGGTGCTTAGGTGCGATGCTACCCGAAAGGAGCACGAAGGCAGAGATACTGCCAAGTTGCCCAAGACTAGACAGGAGCAGTCGAGATGCAGAGGTCGGGTTGGAACCATGGACCTTCCGATCAGTAAGTTCGCAACTTAACCAGTCACTTCGAGTTCAACATCATCAAGAAGGAAATTACCTACCATGCAGGTTAGAAAACGGCTAAAGTGCATCCTCTCAATTAAGACCGAATAGCTCGACTCGTCGCCTGGTGCGGGAACTGTGCAACGAGCATTGCTGCGACTGGTGAATGTTGGTTGGAGCGTGTTGGGTGTCTAGACTAATTAGGTAAGTACATTATGGCTGAATAAAAGCGCCATTGTATTCCGTCTCCTCTTATTATGAACCCACTGCTTAAGACCAGCTGCGTCGCTCGAACGCATTCGGCCCAGTTGGTTAATATTTAAAATACTTGATGATGACATCATCAGCACAATGAAACACTGCGATTTCTTGAGTAATTTTGACAAAAGTTTGGAGAAATTCAGAGAAGGCGAATTTATACACCATGTTGGTTAATGAAGCAACCTTAGGAGACTGGTATGGCTTGATTCTGAATACAGTGTTTCCACCCGGAAGAGCCCTGACCTGTCCCCTAAAGATAACGATTAAAAAGCACATGAATGCACAACAGCTGACAGCTTCGGTATACCCATAAAGACTGAGATTCGGTTTTGCGTCGTAGTCTAATTTAGGAGAATGTCACGAACAGGTGGGGCCATCATATTTTGAGTGAACCACCCCAAAAGTGATTATTGCAGTTCTGAGACTAAACAGCATTTATTCTCACAATAACCAGGAATTAATGGGCAGTGTGCACTGACGAAACATGAAATAAAACAAAACATACCTCATGCTTCTCGGCAAAGGAACTTGAACAAGTCTCCCACGCACATATGTATTTTGGCGATCGATAAGCCAAGCTGGAATGCTCGTCTGGGTTGCTTGGTGTTGTCAAGTGACCGTTACCCTTCGACTGGGTTAAAATGCTATCACTATGAGATGGAGTTCGCTCAGCAGCTGAGGACAAGGGCACTGTCAAGGCGACATTTGTCCGAGTGGTGGGGCACCATGTTGGCTTCCAGGCTGGACCCAATACCGAATTAGGCAATGGGTCCATTTGAAGAGGAAGAGGTTTTAACGGACTGGTATTTTTCTGATTCTCATTGCTTGTGGAAGTAGCAGGAGCTTCTTTGGAGGTCGAATGAGTCGTATCACGTCGGCGCTTTAATTGTAACCAACGACTTCGAATCCCAAGGCGGCGCCGACGCTTCAGTAAACGATGGTACCTTCTAACAGCTGGTCGCTGATTGGGTGGCGATGACTCATTTTCACTATTATCGCTGCCACTGTTGCCACTGCTTGGGTCACTATCACTGCTGACGGTCCCATTTACCAGCCGATCAGGAGAACACGGGTGAGCGGCACACGGCTTGTCAGCCGGATCTTCTAAGTGTCCATTCATTATTGGTTCCTTCATAGATGCAGCGCTTCTTGTCTTCCTGCGCACGTCCTCCAAACCATTGTTCTATAAGGAAGCCAGATAGGTAACCTTATCACCGCACTGCACCAGGTGTTATCCACCCAGAAAGTATGAGATTTTATTCACAGCTTAGAAGGTAAATTAAGTGAATGGTCCAAAATTAGATGACGCTGCACAGAAGATTGCTCCCAATGACGAAATCTAATTAATGAAAGGGAGCCCCTATAAACTGGGATGAGGAATGATGCGAATAAACGTGGTGCCCTCACCGACTAGTTTAGCACTTCACACTTGAGTAAAAGAGGCGTAGGTTAAAGGATACTAAGTAAACGTAGGCTGAATTTGAACCAAAAGGCAGCGTAACGCTTATAACCATAAACAGATAGATGGAATGACGCACCGCAAAATTGGGTCATCTTGATCGTGACGGGCTACATAGATGTCCACCATAAGACGTGTGACTGATGTATTATCCATGTCCCAAAAAAGAACTGGTAAGGTTCAGTGAGGCTATTCTGAAAGTTTAACTGTTGAGTCACACCGAAAAAAACGACAGGTTCCAAACCAGAGTGGCCTCGAGACATGTCGCAAGTTGTGTAAGGATCACAGTGTGATTAAGGAGTATGTAGCTATTCATCATTAATAAGCATCAGCATTATACCGATACCCGCGCCGCAGACACTAAATTTATTGTGGTGAGGAGAAAGGCATTTGCTCACCTTGGGATCACACATGGTATCTCCCCGCTTGTCATCAAACCCATTTCTCAAGCAGTCTGACATATCCATTGAGCTCTTCTTGAGTGATTTCATCTTATCGTCAATAGCATCCACAGCTGCTTGCAATAGACCCGGTTTGAGACCATTGACCTGATAGCCGGATGGAGAGGACAATTTGTCTGACGTTGGTGTCGATAGTTTAGGGTCCGGTTCGGAAATGTCTGATACATCGTCCTCCAACTTTCCTTCCTTACCATTGAAGAGCGTGTTAGCATCAAGCTGCCCTTCGGCTTCGTCCGGTTTTAGCCGTTGCTTGGATGCTTCAAGACTGGCAAGCGGTGGTGAGTGCTTATAACCATCGTTGGAACTAGATGATGCGGATTCCGTTTTGATGGTTTCTGAAGTTGTCGAACAAACCATTAGGTCCACAGCCACAACTTCGGGTGCGTGTTCACCTGTTTGATCGGAAACAGATTCTGCGAGAAGAGCGAGTGGTGAGATTTCCCGTTAGTTAGTGAGGAGAACCTTACTAAACGTTACCTTAAAAACACGATATGAAGGTCCCACAAGTAACTGGTAAGAAAACAAACTCACCGGACTGTAGCACTTCTTGGTTTGAATGGAAGTAGGGACGGTCGCCCGACGACTCTTCCTGTTTTTGTTGTGGATTAGTTGAAGGGAGATTGGGCAAATAGCTTCGAGGAGAATGATTTGGTGTTTTCGAGTTTGGAGATGAGGGTGACATTAAACTCCGTGACTGGGATAATTTCGACGAACGTCGAAGAGCTGAAGGGGGAGGCAGTGAAGGTGGAGGCATCTGCAATCTATCAGTCAGTTCTGACAGACTTGGAGGAGGGCTAGTGTTCGTAGAAGTTTTGATGGGAGGTGAAGTAAATGTGGCTGGGGAATAATTCACAGTACACAGTGTTGTGGAAGTGGGTGCCGCCAATGCGGGTATGGTAGGTAGAGCCGTCGAAGGGGACGCCAATAAAGTAATCAGTCCCGTACAGTTTATGCTGGCGTTTGGAGCTCGGTGGTTTGCGGTAACATGATTAGGTGGTGGAATGCAAGGCTCCGGTTCGCATGCAGTCGGAGGATGTCGAATATTAGTTCGCGCAGGCATTATAGGACGCGGCTGTAGAGGACGGTTCGGAGACATCTGTACGTTCGGTTTGATCAAATGTAAAGGAGGAGTTGCCGGTCGCCGCTGTCCAACCGAAAAATAGTACGGTGGAGGCTGGTGGCGTTGGATGGTCCACTCGGCAGATTGGTTCTGAACACGAACAGTTGAACTAGGACGGACTGGCTGGTGCGAATAAGGAGTATTTGAAGATGTCAGGACAATAGGTGGTGCTCGTTGCATCAGCTGGAAGAAAGGATGACAGTAAAATAAACATTTGTTTAACAGTTCCCCAGTTGTAGGCTGCGCGACAGATGCACATGCACGCACCTGTGTTAATGGGCCATTCTAAAATGGTCTACCGAGTCCAGAACGAAGCATACCAAACAATTAGAAGTGCGGCTGTAGTGTTGATAACTTTGAGCCAAACGTACCAAAAACGGCTGAGATACTACCTGCATATGTAGTTCACTGTGCATTCAATTAGGCATATAAGTTGCAAAAGGTGCCACCGGAGTTTGAAACGCTTCGGTTCAGGTAATGCATTTCACTGAACTCTTCGGTCAGTTCGAAACTATCAAGACTACCGCCTGCTGTCGATATCCATCGTGAGAAGACTACTGGGTAAGGTTCACATACTCGTTCAACATAGAAATGAATTCCGAGGAAGTATGCATTATTTTCTTTACTACGAGTCATTGGCCGGCTGATCCAGGAAGCCACATGTTCCAAGCAGTTCTGCATGCAAAACGGTCGATAGAGATAAACACAGTGTGCCTAGTGGGAACGGTATACATAATTAAAACAAACTCAGTGAGCCAAGCAAAAAACAACTGAAGACAACAGTAATATGCTCACTTTGATCCGATGTAGAGACTGGGAGCCCATCGCCTGTCCTTCGAGTGTCAATAAAGCAAGCAATGGTTGTAGCAGAACCAGTGGTAATGTGTTTGGTGCTGAGCTGGTCCCTTGGGCACAAGCTTGCCACGCGAAGGCACATGCGTACGTGCCCAAATTTGTGAGACAACGAAGCGCCTCCAAAGTAGAACATACCACATTCAAGTCTGGTAGACAAATCAGTTGGGCCAGACGAGGCCATATGGCTGAGGGTAGGCCGTTTAATAGGCTTGCTTCGTTGGCCCTGTTTGGGACAGTAGCCAAATTGGCCAGGAAATTAAGCCCTAAAATGGAGGAGAAAGAGGACGAGAAGAGGTTCGGAGGACAATATAGTACTCAGGCAGGATATCCGTCACTTGAGGACATATCACGGAATAACAGACGAAAACAACTGTGTTAGTTGAAAAAAGGGAGAAGCAGGAAGGAAGCAAGATACCAGGTTACGACCATACAGTGAATAAGAGGTTTGTTCCTAATATTCGTTAGTCAGGTGTACTCAAGATTGCGCACGGAAAGAGTAAAACATAAAAAAGAATGGTACATTGTCACAGACCTTCAAAATAAGCTTCAAAGAGTGAAAACAGTACCGTTCTTCATGTGTATTTTCTATAAATAGTACTAATTCTGCTATCATTATTCTGGAGTGGTGTAAACAGAGCAGGAGATTCTATACACTGTGAATCGATCTCAATGCACAGGAACAGCAGAAAACAAACAACGCGCTACTGACCAAATACTAATTTACAAATTTCAATGGTGTTAACGAAAGCCTCACATGGATCTCTCGTTTATGACATTCTTCATTGGAGCTTCACGTTCACACCATAGTGATTTGCAAATGGGTATATTCGGTCAGTTGCGTGAAATTTGGTGTCCAATTAGAATACATGGTTGACGGAAACTCGGGGACTATGCCTATCTGATGAGCTATAAGAGGGGGCGAAACCTGTCGAGGACCGTCGAAGAGGTCTCAACAACCTTGTGAGTGGTTCCTTTTGAGAAGATACAAGTGTTTTTGAGTGAAGTGACTAAGGTCATCCCGTCTCCTGGCAGTGCTTTGCATGCCAACATGTCACTTACAATCCAGAAAGTACTATAGGTTGGGGAGCGTTTTGCTTATCGTGATGTACGGCAGAGAGGCATCAGTGTCATGCTGTTGACAATGACGCCTAACCATCGATCCTCAGCATGTGCACATGTTTTGGCTGAGAGTAATTTTATTCCGAAAATATTTATTGTTCGCTGACTATTCGTCTTCTATGGCTACAAAGCACCTCGTCCGTACCGACTAAATGGGGCTGATAAGTGCACAAGACCCAGGCTATAACAAATCACTGACAAAGAAAATTCTCCACGTATATCCGTTTGCGACTAACCCATGTTACCACATTTTTCACTGGAAGTTTGCTGAGCCAGACAAACCACCAGAGACTGTGAACTTGTTCGGAGCACCACTCTTGAAATGTGTCCCCAACGAAATAAAAACGGAAGCATGATAATAAGGTTCACTGATGTACAAATTGTGAGACTTCCAGGATGGGGTCCCCATGACCCCGTCTGTGCTTGGCTGGAGACGTTGCAAGAAATGGCGGCTAATCGATGTCAGTAGCGTTCGTGCTGTCAGTTTCTTTCCAGATTGTCTGATTGACCGGTTGGAGGTGTAGGCACCTCAGTATGCTTGACATAGGCCAGCATTAGGTCCCCTCTCTCCCCACTCTTTTTCTCTCCTTTTCACTGTAGGGCTTTTAATACAATTATATATCACATCAACAGACAGTGACGCTTTAGGAGCCATCTGATAGTTATTTGAGTGGAAACGTATTATGAACATGCGGCTGATCAGTTCTCAGGGAGGGGTGTTGTTCTCTGCATTAAGACCTATAGACAGCACCTTATATGGAACTTTTCCCTTATGTCAGTCACCCCTCATAAGAAAAACCAGTATATAAATATGAGAACACCGTTTTTATCCCAGTAATTCCCGGTCATTATTTAGAGCATCCAAGCCCTGAAAAGTGCCAAGAGGATGCACTCTGGTGTTCAGTCGGCTCCATCGGCTAGACTACGGGAAGACGAAGTGCCGACAACCGTATTCCGAAACAAAGATTCTATGATTAATTGAGGAAGGGAGCTCTAACCGGCAGATGGCCAAAGATTTCACGATTGTGCTAGCCTTCGGTTAGGATTGAAAAAAATTGACCTGAATCTCAAATTACACGAAAACAAGATCTGACAGTGTTGTCCGGCAAACTGTTACTTATTTAGGTCTGAATAGCTTCGGCGCAGAGTGCACTTTAATGCCCAAACAGGTCACTCGAATGCAAACGCAGCAACATGATGCCGGGGAGATCGCGGATACAGACTTGAGAGAAGCCGGACTCATCAGCAACCATGGAAGCATCAGTGAGTTACCCAGGTTCAGTTCACTCAACACAAGCTGAATTCACGTCATAATACTAGGTGAGAACCAGTTGTCGTCTTATGATCGATCTATCATTCGCTCAGCGTACCTAAATGGCACCGCAGAGGGCATTACCGAGAACGCTGTAATCTAGCGGAACTGACGAATGTCATTGACGATGTCATTGTATTGAGGCGAAAGAACAGACACCTATGCTCAAGATTACGCCAACATGCCAACTGATGAACCTCAAGAGGTATGTATACGATCGTCACCAATCCTATTCCGTCGCCTACACGTAGTAAGATCTTCAGTCCCATACAGGCAATCTACCGGAGTTCCCTTGCCGCATGAACGTGTTCCAACGGTTAACAAGTGACCATGGAAACAACTTGTCTAAGTCTGCGAAAACGGTTGAATTCTCGAATTTATGTGGTGCACAGAGCTCCTCAATGCGATCAGCGGTAGGTAACCAATCCCGGAAACCATATATGAGACATTTCTCAAAACTACTCAGCCTGCCGCAGGAGATAGTCTACATAAAACACAACTTTCAGCGGAAGTGCCTGAACCAGTTGACTGTATTACAGAAACGAAACTAATATAATCCTCCCGTACAGTGTTCTTATGTATTAATGGAGTGAATTCCGCTATTCGTCAACTACTACAAATCTGCACCAGGTATACAACCAAAGACAGCAAGAAAATATGAATTTTTCACTGTTTCGAAAGTACCTGAACTTGATCAATGAAGTTAATTCAAGGAGAAGGTCAACTGTTTACTGAATACACTATATGAATAGTTCTGTCGGATTGCAGAATGGTCATCAACTTCAGAAGAAATAGGAAGAAACCTGTGGGAGCTGTGGTCTCCTTCCAAATGTTCGGGAGCTGATCATAACTCGTTGATTAGGAGTAAATGATAAAACAATACAAAAGGGTATAAATGTGAATCCAATGAAAAAGAACTCACCTCCAATCAGACTCATTCGATCCGGACTGTCCATGATGCAACGACTGATGAACGTCAGGGTTAGGTCCCCTAGGTGGCATCCTTCGTGCACCAAGGGAGTCCACTCCAATGGGCAATTGATTGACCAGGAATATGGTGGTGGATCCAAGGGGAACCGTAAACTGGATAAGATCTGAAGACCGAGTTGTCTAACACCGGAGTGCTCCGCATAGGCACAAAGGAATGCAAAACGAACAGCCGTGGGACTTGCGGCAATAAAGCGAGCATTCTCACGCCAGGTAGAGAGCGGGGTGCAGCACGGTGAAAGGCTACGTGGGTTGTACACATCATACGTGGCCTCATCATCATCATCCTCAGCAGAGTGGTGATGATGATGGTTACCGGTCGGTTCACCGCCCGGTGGAGCTGTGATCAAATTGACTAACACAGTGGCAACAAGCAAAACCCTAGATGCTTCCAAGGTTTCTTCGGCCGCTGCCTGCAAGGTACAAGGGCTATCGATTTTACATGGATACTGCATCACGGGGGCGAATAAGGTGGTCAGCGTGGAGGATGGTCCTTCGTCTGATTTATCAATATCTAGCGTGATAAAAGGTACAAAGGGATGAAGGATAAAAATTAGTTGACGCAAAAACGAACGAATGACACACAGCGTCAAAATCAGAAGGAAAAGCTGAGTAAGTCGATGGGCTTGAAAAGTGAGATCCTATATCAGGGTCACCTTCACAAACGATGGACACGAAACCAGGAAGGCTCCATTTGGTCTCGTAACCTTATTCTCTAGCTGGTTGCTTTCTTCGTTATCTTAACCGCTGATGTGTGGAGTAACAAAAGAAAATTCAACATGCGACACAGAGGGCGAAAAGCACTCGAGCTATCGTAGAATTGGCACTTCGGGTTCAATCGTTTATACTCAGCAAGAGCATGATTCCGAAGATCGACTACAACTTCATATTTACTGTAGATAAACCCCTGAATTTCGTTATCATATTTTTGTTGAATTCTAGCGCAACTATCGTTGACGCTGTCACCTGGACTTAAAGCATATTTGCAGGTTGGCGTGATGTCTTGCTTTACTACTACATATCCTCGATATTTGGAAGCAACGGCGAGGCTATCCTTAGTCCCAAGTCCACAGTGCGAGTTGGAGTTTGAGTCACCCGCTTCATATTGCTGCCTTACTTAGTCTAGTGGTACAGCGGCGACTTAATGTCATTTGACTGTTGACCAAAACCATGTCCTGCTGCAGGATATCAGTAAGGTCAGTCCCATGTACAGCAGAGCCAACCTAACTCCTACAACTGGCATTCTGGGAATGTTGGAAGTAATCCATAGATACAAGTGACTTGTTCAGAGAGGAAAAAATCTCAGCCGATCACGGATCGGGTTACGTAAACAGAGACTGAATGAGGAGAGGTGCTCATACACAGCCTTGAGCAACCACACTGTTGACAAGCTACTTCTGATCAAATGCTGTCGTGTTTACCGACCAAGCATAAAAGTTAACTTCGAATCACCTCAGAAATTCTTGAGATGTACACTGCTGAATATTTCCAACAGGGATTTACATAGTTTCCCGGCTTTTCTGATTGAAATCACTTCCAGGACAGAGTCTTAACTAAAACCACACTGCCTACAAATATCCGGTGGCTGTTATGCATCAACGAAAATTTCAAATTAGTGTTTGGATACGCTGTAATCGTACTTCAACCGACATGTGATACCGTCCCAAGAATGTTTCCATTCTGCGACAATGTCTCAGTGAGTGAAAACTAAACCAAAGCGTTTATCAGTCATAAAACACGCGTACAGTCCGCAAGTTCGGAAACGTATTTATTAACTACGGAACCTACTGGTGCAAAAAAATTACATAAAGTTATGTAGTGTGAAGGCAATCACCGATTTTATATGGTCAGATTGTCTCTATCGCTTTGGTACTTCTACTCCCTGTACACCACAACGTCCGGGATTGGGGTACAATGAACACCGCGACTTCAATTAGTGTTCGAAAAACCATAATTCCATAACGTGAATATTTTCACTGCTATCTTGCATGGAATAATGAATAGTTGTGAACTGCAATTCAGGTGAATATATTCAGAACTAATGAATACTACGCCCGTAAATCCACGTTCGGTGGATGTTCGATCAGGGGGACGGATTCCGACCAAGGATTTTCAGGCTAGCGAATGCAACTGGTCTCACCTGTTAACAGTGAAAAACGGCTTCGATTGCCTACATGAAACGGATAGAAATAACGATTCATCCATCACAAATGGAAACAGCAGAAGACATCAACGAAAAGGGACGGGATTATCCTTAACACCCTAGCAGTAAAAACTAAAAAGAGCGTACATACAGTCGCCTTTTATATGCTGCAATGCGTACATTAGTTTTCACCTATATTCGCAACGATACAGCACTACAGCGCAGCCTACGGATCACCGTTAAACAAACGTATGAACGCAAATATGGCGTACTTGCTATCACTGATAATGATGATACGTGGATCTTTAGACAGACAGTGGTGCCTGGGGCTTCTCCTAAATCGGTCATAAAATGACACAGGTATTGATAAGAAACAAACGGTCACTGAGTGACTCTTCCTGAATAAGGAAGGCCGTGCAGGGGGTTGGGGGGTGGACAATGTCGCACTAGACTAGCCAACCATTCGTTCAAAGATTTACGCATAGCAAATACTCGGTGAGCGTAAAAATTGGACTGAGCGTCGCGTTAGCTCTTCTAGCTCATATTGGAAAAGTTGCATCCAAAAAAGCAGAGAGAAATGACTCAATTTCACTGGCTGATTCTTTCCGAGATCATTTCGCCTAACCACAGGCAATTAGGCATCAACATCTACCATAACAGTAATACTCACCAGCGTCGATAAAAACGTCCTGCCGAAGGAACAGGCGACCATTCGGTTCTTGAACCATATTATGCCAAAACTGGAGGTGAAGAAAGAAACGAAGGTTATCAGTCATCACTCGTACCGGCGCCTAACTGTAGGAAACCCTGCAGCTTCCAACCGGACCAAAACTTATACGACAGGAAAGCATAGATGAAGGTATAAAAACAGCCCCACGGAATACCCTGGTCTCACTAGACGAGGCACAGAATTTATCCGTGATTTCTGGTGCGCTTTATCCAACTGCTGATTTCTTCCTGTAACTCTTAACTGATTCGGTATTCTGTGCATTATCCCAACCAAGTGCAGAGCCAATCAGTCAGCTGCGAGTCACAGGCGCATACACGTCTGGGGTGATGTGATGCAGGGAACACAGCCACGAGCTATTTCGTCGACCTAGTAATAAATATGTTAAATGAGCTTCACTAGTTACACTGAAACACCGACTATTCTTCATTCGGAGGAAATCATATATCCCGGTTTAGGTATTAAATGGCTAGCATGTCGTATTATACCATCACCAGTGTAGGATTTCATGGTACACTACGGTTTTCAGTAGCATACAATATGTACTTTTGCTGATCTGGTGAGTTGCCAGGATGCTCAAAATATGAGCAGTTTGAAAAAAATCAGTAGCGAACTATTCACAAAAAAAGGGATGCTCCAACAAATAGCGAAATACACTCATTTGCAAACAAATTTGGTTTTGCAAGGGACACCTGGAACCCAGCTGAATCTCTCGTTTGTGCATTCCAAAGTTGTTTCAGAAAAGGAAAGATCTCTAGTTAACCCGAACGCGTGGTCTCCATACATGTATATTCGTCATGCACTACTTATAAGGTCGAAGAATTTTCAGCAACCTTGTGAGGAAGTATAAGAAGGCGCGTGAGCTGAATTCACAAATACATATGGTTTTCGATTTCCTAGGAGTTCGTACTGAGGCCAGCGGTGAAAAAACTACCTCTACCCAATAGATCTGAAGCCGACAGACTTCTAATTATTTTTTCCCGATTGGTTCTTCTATAGTGGACATGATATCTTTTTCAGTCATTATTATCACTGCCATACGGTTCATCTCCGGTCAGCAAACAACAGCGTGCTCAACAGCGAGAAACTGACAGTCTACAGAACAGTTGGTATTGATTTGTTTCGCCAACAAGTGCACGCGCTAAGTACAATAACCACGAGACCCCGAACACTTTACGAGTGCGAATCAACCATTGTCAACAGATCGCCGGGCGGCGAGTTGCAGTTGATAATGAGCGCACCAGGCAAACTGGATCAGTCATCTTATCAAAGGGTGTCGAACGACTTGCTAGGAGTGGCAAGGTACGCTACGAATCAAGTCATTGGTCAGTGCCGTGAGTGAAGAATAGCACACGTGAAATGTTGGCCACCTCCGTCGGTTGGACTACGCACACGCTGAGATAATATGAAAAACTTCCGGGGGGTTATCCATAAGCGCGATGCCTCAGCCATCTTAGACTCATAAACTCCGTATCAATATTGCCACTAGAAAATTGAAGATGGTCAAAAAGCTATAAAAACACGACAGAATCATTACACAAAAAAGGGGAGAACGAAGCAGAACAGCTAAGTAGATCTCAACCGAATGAAACATTGGGATGGTAAAACCATCAGGTAGAATGACGACCAAGTTCGTCAGTCACAAGCTGACGAACCACGGATAAACTGACCACATAAAAGTACAGGGGCAGTGTTACGAAAATCGATGTTTAGAAAGGTAAGGTGCGTTTTTCTTCGGCCGAGGCAGACACCAAAAAACGTCACCCGCCGCGAGACTGTAAAGTCCCGGTCGGCAAAGCCACGATTCCGCGGGGTTCAAGTGAACACAGTTGGAGACATTAAAAAACCTGACGATTTTTTTCTTTATGGATGAAAAAAACTGATTTCCCTAGACCCGTGAACAATGCCAGACAGGATCAAGCTAAAACTAAGAAAACTAATGAATCTAAAATGGTACTCAAAACCAGTACGGCACCTGGAGTCCACTGAAGAAAACCGAAAAGAATCTTCAATCTAGGATATTACGGTTTTGCCACATGGACCTGAATGCGGCTGCAGTGTATCGCCAGTGTCCTTCAATTCAATTTATCAGTTCTAAACCGTGTGCCATAGTCACATTGGTTCTAGCTGCTACGGTTTCGACCACGGGAAAACATGAACGTGGAACATACAACGAAGCCTTCAAGGCGAGCGAATGTTCGGAAATTGGGTAGCTACGCATTGAAGTTCTAGCTGGGTTTCGACCACGGGAAAACAGGAACGTGGAACATACAACGAAGCCTTCAAGGCGAGCGAACGTTCGGAAATTGGGTAGCTAGCTATTGAAGTCATCATCACCATCATCAAGGACAGCAACATCAGTGTTGGCACTGATGCTTCACTGCCGTACAACCATAAGGTTTGTCTAGTTATATATAAGACGACGAAGAATCAATGACGCCAGAAGCCTTGTCACAACAGGCGTCAAGCTAACGCCTCTGTGGTTGCTGCATTCACTGCGAGTACCCTTTTTGAAAATGGGTACCACTATCGATTCACCCCAGTTGTCTGGGA